CTTCCCGACGCAATCGCTCGCGACGGCACTGGGCCAGGTCTGGAGCGTCCCCGACAGGGCGCGGGTTGGTGGCTGCTGCCAAACCTGGCTAGTGCTCTTCCCGTTGGATCCCTCCGCGGGTACTGGGCACCAGAGCAGCTCATCCAACCCCGAGGGCGCGACACGCTCATCACTCGTATATTGGACAACAAAGCCTTAGTTTCAGAATGCGAAAATGGGTGGCCAACCGCGAAACTCTCCAAGGGATGATTTGATCCACCGGTGGCCAAGCTCCAAACCCTCGAAGGGATGCCCTGATCCACAAAGCACAAAACCGAACCCAGGGTACGGCAGAGAAGAATGTAAGACGAGTGGAGGAAGCAGACAATACCCCATCTGTGCCAGAACCAGCACCAGAAATGGACGATGAGGATGGTGAACCTCCTGAGGTCATTAGCTCTCGAATCCCAATGCTGATCGATGATGCTGAGTATCAAGTGGATCAAGACATGCAGGTCCCCATCTACATTCAAATGGAAAAGCATATTCGGTTGATCCGAACTTGGACCTCGCACGTTGCATGGCATTCATGGTCTGCAGCTATATCTTCAAGAACTGGAGATCGAACATGAAGTGGCTGGAGATACCGTTGGCCAATATGCGCCAGTTGTTCCAACAAGGGAGACGTTACGATGTTCTCGGGAACTAGGGCGAAGTTCTTTCAGAAGTCGACCCTGACACCTACATCTCACGGGAAGTATTCGACGAAGAAATCTTGGTATTTGGCGTGCACAAACAAATGCCCGAAGATCCAACAGACAGGTACTTGCTTCGCAAATTCAGAACGCATCAACTTATCACGAAGATCATGAGAGGAGCTTCGCAATTGTGGTTCGTCAAGAACGACTTTAACCCAGCGCAACACATGCGTGAAGGTCAGAATGATGAAGCACCTCAAATGCACTCAAGCTGCTATGCATTGCTACAATCATTGGCAAGGTCACTGGTTGTTCTCAGTTTACTTTGCTACAGCCAAGAAGCAATCTCAACCCCAGGAACGTGCTGTGCATTGATCCCTGTGGAATTGCTATGATGTTTGGTACTACACATGTCACCCGGACATTCTTGGCGCTCTTGGTCGACAGTGACATCCCATTACCGTCAAACTTCATCACTCGTTTGATCGCAAGCCGACACCAGGCTCCAACATCCAGAAATCCAACAGCATTGAACCATTTGCCGTCGGGTCTCCCAGGAGGACGACGTGGCATTCTGGATACGCCGGTCACGAATGAAGAGGCTGAAGCAGTTGCAGAAGCACGCAGAACGAGGGCAGGTGGGCGAAGACCACGTCAAGAAACGCGCGGAGCAACGCCTCCTCCTCCACAACAACCACGTCATGAACGGTGGCAACGCAATCAACGTGCCTATGAAGAGACGATTATGATGATTGGCAATTTGCGCAAGTTGACCAAGCCAGGTCATCCGAGAATGCCGCGCTGCAAATGGACATTCTGTCGCGGAACCAAAGCCAAACGGTTCGGGTGCCACAGGAAGTATGTATGACGGAACACGGCCGGAACAGTGTGTTCAAGGCCGGACATGTATGCAGCGTTTGAGTGACAATGTTTGCTATTGCTATGGATGAATAGTGAGCCTGGAAAGCTCAATGTCACGACGAGCTTTTAAACGCTCAGATTTCTCTGGGTTATTGACACCCACATGCAGTGAGAGAGATGTGAGCCTGAGTGCACATGTGCATAGCGCCTAGTGTACAAATTCTCGAGTTGCTGCAGTGTGTGTGCGAACAGTTGACAAGCGTTGGTTTGCAGTTACGAAAGTTGTGATGATCCACCGAACCGAAAGTGCGCGGTGTATCGGGCGGGGTGAACAACTTTGTCACCCGTACATGCACATGATTTTGGTATGATGTGGTGTTGCATGCACACACGTGTACAGTAGAAACTTTTGACTCGTTTTACCAAAACTGCGTGGACTCCGCGTTGTTTGAACAGGCTCAGAGTTGGAGTGAAAAGTCCGAGATTCTGTTCAGAAAACGAGCAAACTTGGACAGCACGCTTGCAGAACTTTGTGCCTCTTTCTCTGGGGGCCACAGCACCTGACTCTGCGAGCTTCCCACCGTGTTAAAACGAAGGAAGGTGTCCGAGTGTTTCCTCATTTGCTTGACTTATATATGAAATATTTTTGATTGGAGTGTCACTTATCATTTTCATGTATATTCTGATTTGGTGCTTGAGCATTTTTTCCGACTGATCAAAGCGCAGAGGATAAGAAACAGTTCCCCCGGAGTGTTTTGGTTTTCCTAAAGCATTTTCGCATGCTGTCTCAGTTTTACCAAACAATTGCGCATGCTTTCATGGCCTTTTCCTGTCGCATGCTTTGTCGTGATTTTAGCTCGGCATGCAAGTCAATCCTTACTCAGCTGGAGCCTTGTCGGCCCTCTCTTCGGGACTTTTCGTCCCTCCCTCCGCACCCTATGCCAGTTTGCCTGGCTATCTCTCGTTTCACTTGCTTCATGCCTACCCTTAGCCGTTGCCACGACACCTGACTCTGCGAGCTTCCCACCGTGTTCAAACGAAGGAGGGTGTCCGAGTGTTGCCTCATTTGCGTTACTTATACATGAAATATATTTGATTGGAGTATCACTTATAATTTTAAGTGTATATTCTGACTTGGTGCTTTAGCACATTTTCCGATTGATCAAAGCGCAGAGGATAATGCCATTCTGGACACTGCCCGTTCTTCAAAGGCTTGGCATGACCGCTGGAAAACAAGCTCTTGTGGTTCCTTCCGGAATTCTGTCAGCAGTGACGCATGCCCTTGCAGTGATCCTTCGAGACGAACCCAGTTGTGAGCGACCGAGAGATCAGCATAGTTGTGGCGGCTTGGCTGTAGTAGAAGGCTCTCGGACGCGGAATTCCACGCTTGACTAACGTGACCTCTGGATGCAAGCGTAAAGCCTGAATCCCGACAGTGTCTCGACCGCAAGACCGGAATGTGGTATCAAGATGGAGGGCGTGCATTTGAAGATGAGTTTCCCGGTCAAACGGAGCTGTTCATCCCCCATGTGCCCGCGCCCAAACCGGACCACTAAACCGAAATGCAGACCACATCTAAGCTATCACCCCTGGCCAGTCCATGAACACACATACACACACACACACAAACCTCTTACAGCTGCAACATTGAAAGAGTCACCCTAAGACCTCCCCCCTTCTTGTCAACATCTAGAATCTAGACGTTTCTCCAGAGCTTAAGCAAGTCCGGTGTAGATTTGTGACGTGGCAGATGTTGGCCTACTGTTAGAAATTGCCATGGCCGACGTACCCAACAACGACGCCTTGAACCGTGCCTGTGAAATCGGCGGGTGGTGTCTTAGCTTGGATTTTTGCAGGGGAGACAGGTTTCAGCGCATTACTTGCATGGAGGTAAGTTGTGTCGGGTAGCCAGGGTTGTTTGCTGAGATTTGCGTGACATGCATCAGCTATGTTGGAAAGCACTGTACTTGTACATTCCAAAGGCTCCATTGCAACAGGTTTCTGATTGCAGATCACCCTGCGCCGAGTCTTGAAAATTCACGCATGGGCACAGATTGTTGCGTTCGTGCACGAGGGTCTCAGCGTCGGATTCCCCTCGATTCAGACACAGACACACACAGTAGGTCGTGGGGACACATCAATTTTTAGATTCGCATTCGCCGTAGCTTGCAGGTTTTGCGCACTTCTGCACTTCGCTGTCGCGGTCTTATGTTGGTGCGGTGCTGAGTGCTGAGCAGGAATCCCTTCATAAGAGCTTTCCGGATATAGGATTCTGGGACATCTCCCGACAGAACCCTAAACCCTAAACCCTAAATTTAAACCTTAAACCCTAACCTAAACCCTAAACCCTCAGGTTCGTATACTTCTACGTCGGGCTGATGGCCCTGCTGTTGTGGCCCTGAGCCGAGATACAGAGAGACATGCAAGTAGGCTTTCTCAAGTCTGGTTTCGACAAGGTTTTAGGGTTTAGGGTTTTAGGGTTGAGGGCTCTAGTAGTCTAGGGTTTAGGGTTTTAGGGTTGAGGTTTTAGAGGTTTCTTAAAGGTTTTTTTTGTGAGGTTGAGCCAGGGAGGTCGATGTGCTCGGTTTGAGCCATGAGAGCATCGTGGCATCAACTGGAGTTCCGGCTTCTCATCGTCATGTCAGGCTATTTTCGGCTGGCCGCCGATTGTACCAACACTCAGCATGTGCTGAGTTTCACAGAAGATTACCCGCCCCTTCCTGCATAGCTTGCGAAGCACAATACCAATACTGCGACCGAGGTACAAGACGCAGGTTTTCAAGTATTCCCCCGACTCCATCGCAGAAGAGGCGAGTTTGCTTCTGCGCATTCCGGGCTAGGACTGTGAGGTTGCCCATGGCTCACAGAAACAGGCGGTCCCTCTCAAGTCCCTCTTCAACTTCATGCAGCCAGTGTTGGGCTAGATATCCCTTCCCGAAGCCCTAAATAGATTCTACGACGGCACTTGGTGCCTTTTTGCCTCCACAGGGATTCTGGAACAGTCCCCGACTCGCTGTGACTGGCTTTGTGTTGCCCGCATTCGTCTCGCGCCGCCTGCAGCTGCTTTGGTTCACTTTAAAAAGACCAGAAGCTGGGTTCCCTTTAGCTAGATAGATATCAGATCCAGTGTGTAAAGTGGCTTCCTTATCGCGGCAAGTCTCATGGAGTTCCCAAACGAGACCTGAGGAGAAAGCCGGACATTCCAGGCTGCTTGGTGGCCCACACAGCCCGAAAGCTAACCACACCACCCCAGGCTTTCCGGTGTAGGTGCTAAAAGTGCAGTATGATTCGCTGCTGTGCTCCGGAAGAGGGCCCCGTGCTGACGGATGCAGGTGCGGGAGATTGCAGTGTCGTCTTCGAGGGACTTGTCGGGGGCCGATAGAAAGTCAGTCTTCCGCCCAATGTCCCACCTACATGTGTAGGATAAATTACAGCGAAAGACATGCGAGATGTCTTCAATTTCGCCGTGGTACGTAGCTCGCCCAAACCGCCTTGAACCCAAGCTCGGCCCCCGAACTCCACAATCCTAGCTTTCAAGATCAAGATCCTGAGCTCGCTTCCATCTTCGTCCACCCCCCGAAGGACCCTCAACCCTAAACCCTAAACACTAAACCCTAAACCCTGAAGTTTCCCCACGCATCCGAGCCCTTCGGAAGGCGCGCAGTCCTTGCTCACCGACAAGCAGGAGAAGTCCGAGGTCTTCGTCCCCCACGTCGCGCTGGAAGGAGCCTTTCACGTGGGCATTCCGCTAGGGTTTAGGGTTTAGGGTTTAGGGTTTAGGGTTTAGGGTTTAGGCTATAGGCTATAATGATTGTTGCAGTGAAGATGCAGATGGTTTCGCAGGCGATGTTGGGAACCATGATGTTGTTGGTAGCGAGGTTGTTGTAACGAGGGCCCTCGCATCCCGGCGGGAACTTCGGGTTTACGGGGTTTACGGTGGTGCAAGAGTTTCGGACTTATTGAGCATGTTTAGGGTGTTTCATCGTTTGGGGCCAGTTTGCACTAGGTGTAGGATGCTGCTACGGTTCATGAAAATTCATTTACTACGTGGATTTTGCTCACTGTCCCAGCGGGTCTCACTTGTGCCAGGCATCTCGGGTCTTGCTGGGTGACTGTGCGTGGGCATTCGATGTCGAGCTGCGGACAAAGTTGTTCATGGCTCAATGTGTTGAGAGTTGCAAAGGACAGTTCGACTATGTGCTTTAATCATGCTCATCCTGTTCTGATGAGGCTCCTAAAGTGGCCTGTCTGATGATGATGATGATGGTTAGGATGACCACGACGTGGTAAGGCGGTAACTGCTCCGAGCAACGACGTTTGTCGTTTTGGCTTCTGTGGTTTAATCGGTTTGCAAAGTTGAGGCTTACGATGTGCCTGTTGAAAGCTGTTATTTTGATCGGGGTTTTGTCTTTTTATGCCTGTCAGTGTTTGGCCTCGTGTTCTTGCCAGGAGCAGTCCCGCAAAATATCTCATCGCCTGGGAGCCCCTTGAACGATGTCAACGTGAACCACAACGGCGCGCTCAAGGACATCTCCCCAAACCCATTAACCCATAAACCCATAAACCCATAAGCCCATAAACCCATTAACCCATAAACCCATAAACCCATAAACCCACAAAACCCACAAAACCCACAAAACCCACAAAACCCATAAAACCCACAAAACCCATAAAACCCACAAAACCCCCAAAACCCCCCAAAACCCACAAAACCCATAAGCCCTAAACCCTAATCCGACTCCTGCCCCGCAGAGGGAAGCCTCGACCAGAGCCTCGCCTGAAAGCCCAGACACCCTAATCCCACAACCTAAAGTGGGAGTTTTCCAAAAATTAGGGTCAAGGGTTTAGGGTTTAGGGTTTAGGGTTCAGGGTTCAGGGTTTAGGGTTCAGGGTTCAGGGTTCGGGGTTTTGGGGTTTAGGGTTTAGGGTTTAGGGTTATTTTGGGGTCCTTATAATAACAGTCCTACTATTTAGGGTGCTATATTGGGGTCCCCTATTTTCGGAAACCTCCAAATCTGGAGCCGATGGAGACCCCAAGCCCCCAAAAAAGGCTCGGCCCTGAGAAAAGCCTCCTGTGACCTCTTGGAGCAAACAACCTGAAGCCCCTGTACCCTAAACCCTAAAAAAAACTCTAAACCCTAAAAACAAAAACCCTAAGCCCTAAGCCCTAAACCCTAAACCGTACCAATGACTGTCCATACTGTTCGATCACAAGGGGCCATCTGCCGGCAACGGACATGACAAGGTAGACACGCCTGGTACTGTGTGTTTCATAGTTTTAGTAATCTCCGTTTTAGCAGTCGAGTCGATAATTTTCGATTGCTCGCGTGGTAGTACATGCAGTATGCCGTGTACTCATATTACATACTCGGTTGCCGGCAGTGTCGGCGCCTTGCGTTTTTGCAGGGACTCGGGCAGGTAGGTAGCAGTGCTATGAGTCATACATTCAATCGTTATCAAGCCGGCCATGAAGTTTTAAGCATGTCGGACGTGTTCGCGGTTTCGAGTGAAGAGTGGATAGTCTGGACGATCAGGCATACTACACTGTAATGTTTGGTGCCGCAGCTTGCCTTTAAACAAATCTGGTGCTACTTCCACTATGCACACCTTACATACCGACAGCAGTAAGCGTTGTTCTCAGAGGAAGTATGTCCAGCAGTCTGACACATTTGCACTCCCTAATTGCGACTTTACGGTTTGCGGCGTCAACTTCACCCATCAGTTCTGACTTCTCCCAGTCTAAACCTTTATGCTCCCACTGTACTTGCCTGTGAGAGAGGAGAAGCGATCGGAACTGGCCCTGGAATCTTGGCTAGAAAGACGGACCACTAAACCCTAAACCCTAAACCCACCGTAAGGCTTTCTAGTCATCCTAAACTTCTGGCCATCATGCGGATCTTCGGCTCAATCACGGTGAGCACCACCAGCGCAGGAGCATGGTTTTTTTGAATGCTGATGAAGCTGTTGCGAGTTTGCTACATACAAATGCTACTGCCGCCAGTCAGGCGGGCTGGCCTGCAAGTGAGGGAGTGCGCAACTAGGGTGTTTTTTCCCGCCGCCAAACTAGACACCCTGCAATCTACGAAAAAGCAGGTGATCCTCACGGCGTGTTTGGGCCGGTGTTTCTGCTTACCCCTTGCTGCTACCAAGGGGGGCGAGGATGCCAAGGTCACCCACCAGGAGGGGGCGGGAGATGCACACGAAGAGTCAGGGAGTCTCGGTAGGTTGGCGTCGCCTCCTTGCGAAAGCCTCGATCCCCGATCCCCGAAGTGCCAGCGTTTAGGGTTTAGGGTTTAGGGTTCAGGGTTTAGGGTTTAGGGTTTAGGGCCCTCTTCCAGCGCGCCTTGCTTAAAGCGCAGGCGCTGACGGGATATCAGCAGAGGCAGCTGGATAAGAATGAGCTGGAGGTGGCAGCGCGGATTGAGAAGAGGACCTGGGCCTACGTGGTTTTGCACTGCTGCAGGGTCCAGGTACTTGGAGGATCATGGGACTTAGTAAGTATGGTTATAAGTCCCCTAATTGGGGTTATAAGTATAGTTACCCTAGTTGAAAGCCTACTTACTAAGTCCCATGATCCAAGTAGGAAGGGCAGTTTGATACAGACGTGCTGCATGTCTAGTCTGGGCTTGTGTCGATTTGCAGGAATGCCGTGGAAGGGGGCCAGGCAGGACACAGTCGCCAGACGCAAGTGTTTCGCACGGTACAGGAGGAGCAAACGAAGGTATCTGCTAGTGCCGATAGCTTTTGTCACCATATGCATGCTTGCTTCCCCTACACCGTGGCGCGGTCCCAGGAGATTTACATTGCCATCAGGATGTTAGCAGTTCATCTAAGGCATCAGCCTTCACAATCGTTTTCCCCCCACACGCCCTAATCTGCACCCTAAACCCCGAAACCCTACTCAGTCCAGCCCGGCTGATAAACCCTAAACCCTAAACCCTAAACCCTAAAACCTAAACCCTAAACCCTAAACACTAAACCCTAAACCCTAAACCCTAAACCCTAAGCCCTAAACTGAGGTCATGGCAAGCCGGTGTTTTGGCTAACTGCCGTGATCTCCTCGCTGATCAACTTCCTCCTGCCTCCCGCCACCGATCCATGTGGGGCGCTCTTCTTCGGTTTAGGGTTTAGAGTTTAGGGTTAAGGGATGCGGGTTTAGGGTTTAGGGTTTAGGGTTGGGGTCCTCCTTGGGTGTGGTGTTTAAGGACCCTATCATGAGATCCTAGACCCAAAACCCAATGCCCTAAACCCTAGAGCCTATACGCCATCATTTGGGCTCTATTGTTGAAGTCCCTGCTTTTCTGAAGCTCCAATGTCCTGGGTTTGGAACTCTATCTAGGCGTTTGTGACATTTTGACAACATCGAGAAGGGAAAGAGGAAATAGGGTTTGTTTTAGGGTTTGTGGGTTTTGTAGGGTTGAAGGGTTTCTGGGATTTCGAGGTTTTCGAAGGGTCATAGAGTGTTTTGGTTTTTCATATTTTAACGGTTGGGAGGGTTTATGGGATTTGCAGGACTCCGATTTTTGGGCCTTCGAAAGATATGCTTTCGTCGACCGTCGAAGACAACAGCAGGCGTGCCCAAGGTTCCCAGGTGGTAGTAGGGAGACCCTTTAAAAGGGACCCTTCTGAACTCTACTTATGGCTTTCTTAAAAGGGACCTTATGGACAGGGTCTATGTCCCCCAGGGTCTCCCTAATCCTAACTCCTAAAGGTTCGTGTTGAGCCCTAAACCCTAAACCCTAAACCCTAAACCCTAAACCGTTCTCTTAGGATTCTGAAGAAAAGGGAGGCCGAAGTATCCCTGAGCCCTTCACCAGGAGAAGCGAAGCTTAAGCCCTAAGCCTAAGCCCTGCACCCCGCAAAAGCCCAAAAACCCCCAAAAGGCCCAAAGCCCCGAAACCCTAAAACCCTAAAACCCTGAACCCCAAACCCTAAACCCTAAACCCTAAACCCCAAACCCGAAACCCTAAAAACCCTGAACTCTAAACCCCAAACCCTAAACCCTAAAAGACCCCGAACCCGAGGATGTTCGGCCTCTGCTGCGCGTACGGGATGATCATGTTCAGCGACGACTTCCATAAGCAGCATGGAGCGCTAGGAGCTTCGGGGTCTCTGCGGGCTTAGGGTTCCTTTTAAGGGTTAGAGTGGGTCCCTATTAAGGGGTCGATAGGGGTTCCTTTAAAGGGTTTAGGGTTTGGGGNNTAGGGTTTAGGGTTCCTTTCAGGGTTAGAATCTCAGGTGTTAGGGCTTTTCAGGGCTACACTAAGGTCTAAGGGTTCCTTTAAGGGCTACTCTGAGGTGTCAGGGTTCCTGTAAGCGGTTTAAACGTTCCTTCAAGGGTTACTGCAAGGGGACCCTGGGGGCTGCTATCCGGGTTTAGAGGTTTAGAGGTTTA